CYTYMWYCACAGGAATGAGCGTCACAGTGACAACAAAAAATCTTACCTGAGGATACGGGAACCTCCCGAGAGCGAGCTGTGGAGGGAAAGGAAATTTCTCTGGTTATGGAGGGTGGCGTGGAGGGCATGGATACTCCAAGGGACAGAAGGGCTCCACACTCAGGGTGYCAGAAATTTAAAAAAACCCAAAACTGTACGGTTGTGTTGGGATCTTTGAGGTTCCAACCTCGGATTTAACTAAATATATGAGGCGTCGTGGTCTTTTGGGGCATCTGTTTTTCTTTACGGAGAATTCTTCACAAAGAATTCTTCACAAAGAATTTGACAGCTCTCTGTGTAAAATCAGAATCGTGGAAATTAAGGTTAAACTTTCCAAAGAGAATGAAAACTTATTTTCCTCACAGTTTGTTCGGATGCCTAAAAAGCTGGATGGGTTATTAGAGCAGCACCCTTGGAAAAGGGGTTTCCTTTCTTTTTTTTTTAAGATTTACGTAGGAAATAACTTTTTTTGAGAGTATCTCAAAACACATGCAYCATTCTTATGGATTAACAGAGTCACGCAAATAAATTCAGGGTGAATCTGCCCTTAAACACTTTTTATACCTATAGAAAATCCTATGAGCATCATTCCCTCCTGCTTCCAAAGATAATTTCCCTCCTGCTTCCCTTTTCCCTGTTCCCAAAGCAGGAGGACGCTGCCAGCATGAGGAGCTGGAYTTAGGGTGGGCCCTTCCCAAGGATCCCTATCCTGGTCCCACTCAGGATCCCAGGATTCTTCCAGCCCTGTTCCSTCACTCGGTGCCCCTGCCCAGTTCCCAAATTCCTGAGGGCTGGAAATGGAACCAGTTCACCCTCACCAGGGAGACTGAGCCCCTGCCCCRTGCTGGGAATTCTCCGTGAGGAGCCGGCACTGCCGAGCAGCTCCCGACTCCCTGAGTCCTTCCTGAACTGGCTCAGTGTAAAATCTGGGTTATGGGGCCRAGCTCTGGGCCCCACTGGGGTCAGACCTGGGTGGGATATGGGGAGAGAACCCCATAGAGGCACCCACAGAGAAGCCTCATCCTGCCCTCGGATCCCCTTTTCCATGGGATCACCTGCACCTGCTGCCCCTGCTGGTTTAAAGCCAATTAATGCCTATTACAGTCAATTACAGAGCAAYTCTAAAATCAACATTCCTATGTATCTTGTCTAAAAATATTCCACTAATCAAAATTCCAAGAGAAATTCCTTGTACTGGGCAGGTTTTCCCACTTGGTATCGGAACCTTGGAAAYAATTCCAGCAAAACTCAGCTGCTTGGAGTAGTTTTGTCTGCTCTTCAGGCAGGGACTGGGGTTTTCAGGGTTGGAATCATGGAATCATTGGGCAAAGCCCTCTCAGACCATGGAATCCAACTGCCCAGGCCACCACTGACCCTGTCCTCAAGTGCCACACCCCCAGGGCTGTTCAATCCCTCTGGGAATGTGGCTCCACTGCTGCCTGGGCAGCTGTGCCAGGGCTTGGGAACGCTTTCCATGAAGGAATTTTCCATGAAATCCCATCTCAGCCTCCCCTGGCACACCCTGGGCTGGCCCCGGGGGGTTCACTCAGCTGCAGGGAGAGCTCAGAGACCTTTGCAGGGCATAAAGGGGCTCCAGGAGAGCTGGAGAGGGATGGGGACAAGGGATGGAGGAACAGGACACAGGGAATGGCTTCCCACTGCCAAAGGGGAGGGTTGGATGGGATACTGGGGAGGAATTCCTGGCTGGGAGGGTGGGGAGGGGCTGGGCTGGAATTCCCAGAGAAGCTGTGGCTGCCTCTGGATCCCTGGGAATGTTCAAGGCCAGGCTGGACATTGGAGCTTGGAGCACCCTGGGATGGTGAGAGGGGTCCCTGCCCAGATGATCTCGAAGGTCCCTTCCACCCAAACCTTTTGGAATTCTGTGACCATTCCCATCCCAGGGAATGACCCTGGGGTCACTCTCACAGCAGGGTTTGAGAAATGAAATAATTCTGAAATACAGAATGAAACATTTCCTTCACTGTTCTGTTTGGCCTCATGGACCAGGGGTACCCAAACCCATCCTTCATCCCCTCCTCCTCTGTGGGAGCACCACCCTTCTGTCCCAGCAGACACTGGGATCCTGAGGAGCTGTACTGGTGGGACAACCTAGAAATAAACCTATAAATTCTCAACAGCTTCCCATGAACAGAAAATATTTCCCAGAGCAGAATAAATCCTGATTTTTCCAACAGCTGCCTGAAGAACAGCAGAAGCTACAGACAGAGCAGAAGGTAATGAAGGTTCTGAGCACAGGGCATCTTTCTGCTGATGTTATTTAAGAAAAACAATCTTTGCCTGGATGATGAGCTCCAACAAAGCACTCCCATCCCCACTGATGACCCCTCTCCCTGACCAGGCCTCAGCAAGGGCTCCAGGACAGCAGAAATTTGAGAAAGTGAGCACAGGGTGTAAAAACGAGCGCTGAAGGACCCCAAATGCACAGCAAMAAGTTCTTGGGGAGGGTTAAACAAAAACATTTCTCAGTGAAGCTGCTCCTGGGCTGGGGACAGCAACCATGGCAGGACAGACAGCTCCTGGGCCACCTCCTCAYCCCCTGAAGCACCGCTGGATTCCTCTGCTCACACCAGGCTCCTCCCTGCCAGACTGCCAAGGTGTTATAAATTAAGAAACTTCGCCGAGAGTCGGTAATCTTCCCCGAAATAGCCTGCAGATATGTCACTGTACTAAATGTGTTTCAGATTTAATGAAGCTTTAATGTCCTTTTTAATTTTGCCTGTTTCTCGATCACCAGGGGTCGAGCGAGGCAATCAGCACTCGAGAGGGTGGTTGGGTTTAAAACTAGGAAAAACTCATTTGCTTATGAGTTGCACTGTATTTTCTTAATTAAATTTACTAAGTAAAACGGTTGAAGTTCAGCCAACCAGTGACCTCTGGGTGTAGATTTAGATTTATAAAAAGTGTCACAGTTAAAAGGGAAAAAAAAAAGCCCAAACAACAAACAGAGCTTCACTAAACTCATTTCCAAACCCTCAGCTGGCTCAAGGAAGTTACAGGAACACCAGGAACAAGCCTAGAGCGGGATAGAAAAACCCCAAACTCCCAGATTAATTCACTGTCCAAAACTTCTCTGCATTTACACGGTGAAACTCCAGAATTTAAGGTATTTCAACAAAAATAGAATATTTCCATTCACAGTAACTGGGTTTGGGACTGATCCATGGTTTATGGCTGGGTATGGAGATGGGAATACAGGAACTTCAGGGAGCTGGTTCTCATTTCCCTATGGACCCTTCCTGATGGTTGGACTGGGTGATCCTGAGGTCTTTTCCAACACAAGAACGGTAAAAACCTTCATTTAAAAAAATCCAGTGGATTTCAGGTGGAGAGGGTGTGGAAATGGAGACGAGACCAATCACCAAGAGATATCCCAGGAAAACACCTTCCCACCCCATTTCATTTGGGAGTACCTACATGGAGGAGGTTGTCTTAGATGTGGGTGTGTGTTTTTAAAAAAAAATACTTTCTGAAACACAGGAGTAGCCCAGGAGAGCATCTGAAATAGCTTGGTGAGGTTGTGACTTGGGAAAGAGCCTTCCTGGATGGATGGGTGGATGGACAGGGATGGATGGATGGATGGATGGATAGATGGACGGATGGAATGCATAATCAGATTTTAAACTGAGAAAAAATCCCAGATTATAAAACAGTACTCTGTGTGTGTCAGCTGACTTTGACCAAACTGTCAAATTTTTGTATCAACTGAAATCTAAAAAMATCCAAATTTCAAACCATGAAGTGTTAATTCAGGAAAAACCCCTGGACAGAGCACAAGTAGGGCTGGAAAGCAACAAAAACCTGCTCTCAAGCACATCCAATGTTCAGCTAAGCAAACACAAAACCGACTCATTGAAATAACATAATTTACCATTTCAGAGCCGAAAAGGGAAATCTAGAAATCCCCCCTAACCAACCTCTTCCTCCACCTCACTTTTCCCTTGCCTGCTGCATATTGTGAATAAAATCACAGCAGCAGCTTAGTCTGTATCCTGTTCAGAAAGTGTCTGAGGGAGGAAGCTCCAAACATATTTTCAGGACACTCAGGCCATAAAGTTTCCCACTCAGATTACTGTGGATGTTGTGCAAGTTGTTTTTTTAATTTACAGTTCCCACTGGAGAGCCTGGGATGCTTTTATTCCCAAAATTCAGACACATTCTGTGTTCACCAGCGTAACTGCAAATTGAGAAGAAGCGCTCACCACATGGCCAGTGAGGAAGCTGGAGGAGCGCTGTACAGCCTGAAATGGTCTAAAATTTGTTCTTAATTACCTTGTGCACATTCTGCACAATTAAATTTACATCCCAGGATTTTGAATTTGGATTGTGTGCCGCAGTTAAACCCTCATTGGGTGGAAAAGCAGCCACCACTCTGCACTCAGACATGGGAAACTTGCAAAAATCAGACCTAACTACTGGAGAATACCAGATTCCCAAGGTGAAACTCCATTCTGAGACCAAGTGACACATTCCTAGAAAGATGGCCTTAAAATCACCTGAAACTCTATGGGGTAAGACCTTATTAATATTAAATACCTCAAAAACCACTCCAAGATTTTTTTCTTCTAATATCAATTTCACTGTCCTCTTATTGCAGTTTTTAAAAAAAAAAAAGAAAAAAAATCCAGAAGGATATAACAGCGATTTAGCAGCGTTAAAGTGCTTCTGAGGTTAAACTGCCAACAAAGGGGAACAGGAACACAAAGCATCTTGAAGTAGGGTTTCAATTAAATGTGTGGGATTTAGTAATGCAGCCCCGAAAAAAAAAAAAGGGAGAGAAAAAAAAAAAAAAAAAAAGAAGAGTTACAAATTAATTTAATCTTCTGCCTATAGTTTGCAGCTGCACTCCGAAGTGTCTGGGGCTTAAGAACAAAGCCTTGCAAGGCCTGGGAGTGGGGGAAGCTTCAATTTTTAATGGATAAGGCCATTAGCCGGGAACTTGTGGAATCGGCGACCCCCGCGGAGGGACGGGAGCGGTGACGGATCTGTCGGTGGCCGCGGCTGGCGGGGGGAAGGTTA